AGCTTGTGATTGAATAAGATAATCAACTTGTGTTTGTGTTACTGATGATGTACGTGGAGTTGTTGATGATGGTCGTGTTTGTGCTGGTTGTGGTTGTTGAGATTTTGGAGATAGTGGAAGTTGTGAACGAACTTCAAGAGTAGTTAATGGTGTTGCCTATAAAGTAAAGCATATTTATTTTATGATAATCTAATAAATTATTTTTGAAAAAACAAGGTTTTTTTTTTGTTGTAATTTTACTATGATGTAAGATTAATATTTGCTATAATATTCTTTCAGTAAAATTTGAAAATCTCAAAATGAGTTTTTTTGTATAAATTGAATTTAAATAAAAGAATACATACTTGACTTTGACTTCGTTGATAATTTGGTGCTCGAACTTGAATATTAGTTGATGTTGGTGATGGATTTGCTGTCGATGTTGTTGTTGTTGTCTGTTGTTGATGAGAAAGAGCTCGAACGTGACGATATTCATTAGAAGAAATTTGAACTATAAAAAAAAGAAATAAAAGTTACAATTAGCAAAAAAATTTATTGGTTCATTGTTTTTGTGGAGTTAAACTTTGAAACACGATGTAGTTGCTGTTGCTGATCATAGAAAGACTGATTTATTTTCTATCAATTTTAACACATCTTTCTCTTTAGTACTTTTTTATTTAATCTCTTAGACATGCAATCAGAAAGTAGTTCTTTTATGAATGAAACATTATTGATATACGATTAGAGGTGTAAACCAATTGACTGAGTCGCTGCCGCAACACAACAGACGTTTGATTTTTAAAAATTTCCGACTGTCTGAAATTAGTTTTTGAACATGTTACTGGTTAGCTTTCTCGATCATCGTTTTGTCATTGTATCATTTCAAAATTTCTCGAAAAATTTCAGTCATCTCCATCAGTGAACACGAAAAAGAAGTTCAACATTTCCAGCCGTCGATCAATACATGCGGTTGACAAATTTAATCTTATATCAAGAACGTCTGTCACAGTCTGTGATGACTCATTGCAAAGATATCTTATGAAAAGGGGGTGGACAAATATCTATACATATACTTCAACAATTCTTGTAGATCATGTTTCATAAAAACTAGAAAATATTTATTTAACCTGTTCCAACTTGTTTTTGTTGTAGAGAATTTGTTTCATTTGTTATATTATTATTCGATGGTAAAACTTGTACTTGTCTTTGTCCAGATAAGATAGTAGCTGTTGGAATAGATGGTTGATTTGATGAAGGCATTGGATTAATTGATGTTGGTGTTGAACATGATAACTATAAGATTAAATAATAAAAATATTTTTTCTTCGTTTGTTGTTTTTTTTTATTAATACTTACATTAGTTCGAGATGGTAAAATATTACTTTGAGAACGAGGTGGATTCATATTTGAAGGATTATTACTTGCAACAATAATATTATTCGAAATAGATCGTTGAATTGTAGGAGAACTTGATGGTGAAGGTGATTGAATAAGTGATAGAGAAGGTGAAGGAGATGAATTAATTGGTGTTGGTGTAGTACTTAATGCCGATGTTCGAACCTAAATAAATGTAATAAAGTAAAATAAAATAAAATAAAATAAATAAAATTTACTCGAGTATTAATTGTTGATGTTAATGTTGCATTAGGAGGAGGTGTTTGTTGTTTAATAGTATCAATATTATTTTGTGCCATTGAAATTTGTTGTTGTTGTTGTTGTTGATGAACATTTCCAGTAGTAGTTTGTGTGGATTGTTGTTGTTGTTGTTGTTGCTGCTGTTGCTGTTGTTGTTGTTGTTTTAATTCTTTTTCTCGTTCTGATCGTTGATATGATACATCACTTGGTGTTAATGGTACATCAAAATTAATATCTATAGAGAAAGAAAAAAAAAACCAAATGAATAAATGAAGATTCTAATGCGTTTTCTTTTTTAATGTAAACATACTATTTTCTTGTAAAAGTGAACCTTGTTTTAAACCTCGTGTTTGATGATGTGCAGCTTGAACTATTTGTATTTGTTTAAATTTATTTAAATATAACATTGATGATAATTGTTGTTCAAATTGTGAAATAATATCAAATTTTTGATGATAAATTTGTAATAATTTTTGACAATTATCATGAACAAATAATTGATTTGTACGTAACATTTGCCAATTATCATCTGACATCTTAAAATGAATATATATAAAAGAAAAGAAAATTATTTAGAAATTTTCGATAATCTTTTTATAATTATCTTACTTTTACAGTTCCTTTAATAACATGTTTCTTTTTTTTAATTAAATCATAAACAACACGACCTTCTTCACGTGGTCCAATAACTTGTTCAAAACGATGCTTACATTGTTTTGGTGTACGTAATACACGTGAATAACGATTAACAATATCCGATATAAAATCCCAATTTTGTGTTAATGCATTTGTTGTATTATTAACAATTGATGATGATGTTGGTGTTATAGTTGTTGATGTTGTTGATGATGGTAATAATGGTGATGATGATAATGATGTATTGGATAAAATTGATTGAGATTTATTTGCATTTGATGTACTTGAAAATGACATTGATGTTAATGGTAATTGTTGAATATTTTGTATTGCATCTAAGACTTTATAATCTTCGGATATAAGCCAATCACTATTATCAATTTCAAGTAAACCTTGAAAATTATCTTTTGAAAGCATATCTTCAAGTTTAATTGGACGTGATAATGTTGATGTTGATGCTGGAACAATAACATTTGTATTTGAAGAATTTGGAAGTGGAGTAGTTGTTGTACCATTATTAACATATAATTGACGAGCTTTAATATTAGCTTGTGGTGTTATAGATGTTGAAATATTTGATGAAAATATTTTATTAGTATTATTATTTGATATTTGTTTTGATTTATTTAAAGTATTTGTTGATAATGATGATGATTGAGTATTAAGTAATAAATTTGATCGATCAAATAATGAACGTGGTACAAGAATATTTGTATCAGATTTTGACATATTTGTTGTATCAACAAGTGCTAAAATTAAAAATAAATTTATTATTCTATGAAAATCTAAAAATTTCTTTAAACAATTGTCCATTTTTACATTTTGCTATTGATGTTGGCTTTTATCTATCGGTAATAATCTCTATTTTTTTTTCTTTACTAGAATCTTATTCTTTCTTAAAATATTGAGCAAAGATTTTAAGTACATATATTAATACATGATGGTTAATGGAAAATTCAATTAGAAGATTTTCATCTAAAATTTTGTTCAGAAACAGATTTCATGGCTAATAAAATATCCTAACCAATGGATAAATTACTTTCGAGTTGAGACTATGTACAGCATATAGATCCAAAAGAGTTCATATCCTTAGCTTATCGTTGTCGAGATACTGCAAATTTATGATAGTTTTTAAAATGAATGCCATGATCTCTCTCAGAAACATTAGAAAAAAACTGATCGGCAAATTTGAACTAAAACTTCGCACATAGATAATCCTTAACGAGAATATCTTATTCTGAAATTTTAAGTGTTCTTCTTATCTTAAGATACAGCTATAATAAACGCGTGTCTTTTATGGCTTTCATATATGACTGTAGATTCAATGCTCTTATTTTAGGATAAAGAAAAATTAAAAGATTCGAAATTTTCATAATAAACTACTCTCACGAAAGTATATCTCTAATAGAGTTTTTTCATGAATAGTTAACGTAGCAATCGAACATTCACTAAAACAGTCATAAATCTAACTTGATAAAATATGAATTCAAAGCCTATAGGGACATCTTTAGTTTCACAGAATCTTACTCACAGTCAAAACATACAGTCGAACAGTGCTTGATCATGATAATACAATTCTTCGTAAGAGAATGGAGCTTATACATTCATATATTATCTTTTCTTATTATAAAATGAAACGTGTTTGGAAAATATATACAATCAAATATAGGAAAATTTCTCGAACGATTATATCTATCAAAAATGATATCAATATTTCAGCTCATATGAACTTTCATATGATTTTTTTTTTGCTAAAGACAAAGTTATTATAAAACATTAAACTATACGTATCCACTTTCACTACGACTATCTCAACTCATTTCATTAGAAAAGGTCTTTCTGCAAACTTCAGATAATCGTCAGTAATTGTTTACCTTTCGGTAGAGGAAACCGAATATATTCTTCTGGTTCAATCATCATTGCTTCTGATTCATAACCACAATCAAGTTCATCATCATTGTATATTTCTTCATCTTCGTCTTTTAAGTGTTTCATTAAAATACCAGACCATATCTAATATAATTTAAATAAACAAAATCAATAAAAAGCGAAAACAAAAAAAGAAAACATTACAAACCTCAAATTCTTGTCCATCTTCAGTGATCCAAATCTAAACAACAACTAAAGTAAGTTTATCATTGTTTTCTTTTGTATTATCTTATCATCTGTCTGTCTGTTAAAATTCATTTTCAATTTTCGAATGCAACTAAAAATCCTTATTTTTTTGTCTTGAAATAATTCGTATAAATTAAACAAAACACACGAAAAAATAAATCATGAAAAATTTTCATTTCTTTGTTTTTCAAGGCCAATGTAAAATCATGATTCAAGATTGTTCATCATACTAAAACTAAGATCACTATATTAAATTAAACTGCTCAAGCTTTGCACTAGTCATCAACAGACTGATCAACAGATACTGAAAAACCAATTTATAATAAAAAAAAGAAAATGATCACAAATCTTGAATCATGCTTTATTTCTTGATGCCCTGATATCCAGATATAAATATACATGTGTGTGTGTGTATTGCTCAATTTATCGATTTATTTTTTATATTTGGAGAAAAAAATTATTGAAGCAGGTACACGTATACAGGTTGGAAAAAAAATGAACAGCACTATGCTATATAACTGTATGTATGTTTAAAACAATACTAAGAGAATAAACGGAGAAAACAAACATGCAAGCACTGTTCTTAATATCATCTGTCATAACAGAAGAAAGATAAATTTTTTTATTCCGCCTCCTCATATTTCTGTTAGATTTTTTCTGGTTCGTATTTTTTGTTGAATTGTTTGTGATTGTAATTGTGATCGAATTCGATAACTGGCTCTGGTTGTTGATGATAAACGAGAATTTGAAGATTTATCAATTGATGATTGATCAATAGTATCTATCCTAGATAATAAATTTCTTGTTGATTTCTTAGTCGTAAGTATTGGTTCTGAGGATTGAAACTTCGGATTATTAGAATTTATTGCAGATATAGCTGATTGTTTATTTAAGAAATTTAATGATGGCGATGAATCATCAAATCGAACTTTTCGTTGAACACCAGATTTTGTATTCGTAACTGATAGTGATTTCTTTCGAGGTAGAATTGGTGATGTACGTATCAATGTTGATATACTTGTTTTAGATTTTGATGAGTAGATTATATTCGAATAATTTGACGTACTATTATTAGAATTACTATGTAATTCATCATCATCATCGTCATCGCTATTAAGACATGCTATGAAATTGATACAATCACCATTATTAATCTTATGTTGATTTTCATTTTTTCGAGACGGTATTTGTTGTTTTATTTTATGATCAACTAATTTTGTTTGTATATTAGTGAATAGTAACGGTGATTGAGGTGGAGATGGAATAATTTGTAAGTGACGACGTCGTTGTATACTATCATTAGATGTTTTGGAATAATTCTTGATAGGATTGAATGAATGTTTAATAATTGCAGGAGATAGAGGAGGCGGAGATAAAAGAGGAGATGGAGATATAGAAAAAGGAACTAATAATGATGTTATAGGAGAAGAAAAAAATGAATGATTAACAGCAGGAACAACTGTAGAATTTTTCTCATAACGTGCTAATTCATTCGCTACCAAACTATATCGTGCACATGAATAAGTATAGTTATATTTGACCTTTCGTTCATTGTCTCGTGTATATGTATACATCATTTCATCATCATCTTGTTCAAATTGTTTATCTTCTTGTTCTTTTAAAGCTTTTAAACGTGATAATTGCCAATCTTTTCGAATTTGTTCTGTATTAAGCTAAATATTACAAAAAAATAAAATAGAATTCGTTTGATTTTTAAATTTTTAGAAAAACAAATATTTTACATATATATTTGAATTAGTTTGAGAAATTTGATGATGATCACCACGATGAGTTTCAATACAACGTAAAGCATATCGTTCGATCGGTCGAAGCTAAAATAAAAGAAAATATTGTTTTTTTTTTTTGTTCCTTTGAATATAATAATAACAAAATAATACTTGTTCATCAAATGTTTTTAATTTTTCTTCAATTTGATTCATATTTTGTTTTTGTTTTTCAATTAATTGATCTTCATTTAGATGAATTATTTCATCTTCATTAAACTCAATTAATTCAGCTTTAACTTCTTGAGTCAATTCATTTGCTGCTTGACGATCTGTTTCATCTTCAACTGAAGCAAGAGCTTCTTCAATTTGTGTTGTTGTTAAATTATTATCTGTCATAGTTGTTGAACGATTCAAATCTAATTGTTCTTGATATTCATTTCGTTCACGTATAACATCTTCTATTGTTGTTGATGGATCAAATAATTCACGAATATTATTCTATTATTAAGAATTTTAATTAAAAAAAAAGAATTTAAATGAACGTTGTTACGAAAAAACTAAAATACTGGCACTACGAAATTTGAGCAAGTTTTTTTTTTTATATCTTTTCATATGCTGTGATAGGGTTCGTTGAATTACCTATTGGAATTTTGTTTTTGTTATAGTCAGACGATGTTTTTACAGTGAAACTTTAGTAGATTCGGTTAAAAGAATGAGACAAGCTGATAAAAATTGCATTACGCCAAAAGCATCAAGACTAGATCGTGTCAATATTTATCGTACTCATGATATGATCAGAAAAAACATGATGCTTTAAAGCAAATATCATATTCGGTATTAGAGATGTAACGGTGACGATGCCCCAGTCTACGATAGAACGACACATCAATCTAAACATATATGTATTGTCTAACGGTGAACATATAATAGAACTATGATGGTCTTGGATTGACTTCGATTGGGATGACGGCTTCAAAAAAACAAATACTTAAATTTAATAATAATAGACTTAAGATTTTCGGAATCCAGGAGTTCAGATCCATATGAAGTTTGTCGGAATTCTCGAGCTTAATGTTCTCTTTAGAGAATGAGTTCGTTCTCTCTAATTAGTTTCATAGAATTTAGCTAATTTCTTGACATACATCTTTCCAAATTCGCATAGCCGAAATGAAGTCCAGATAGAGGGGGAAAAGCTAGATTTGAGTACTCCAAAGTATTACACTTCACCTATACTTCGGACTATTGAAGTCTCACTTTTCCCTCCTTGATCTAAGATCACCATAGTTTCATCATGCGTTTACCTTCTTCATTTTTATTATATGCGTCCATGTCTACACTAGTGCAGTGCTCTGCGTAAGACTGGCAATCATCAACACCGAATAGTATACTCAAAACTGATTTCAGTTGTTTCATTTCTTCACTGTTATCTTCGAATATTCTGACCTATGCTTCGCCTAAGATAGAAATTTCACGAAAAATTAAAACTTTGATAGTTTAAAATCTTATAAGACAAACTCTTACTGATAGCACTTTTCTATCGTAACCGAAATAGCATCGTTTTTTCAAACTATATGACGAGTAAAATCAAAAGCAAAATTCGGATAAAATATTTGCAATATCGCGATTTGATGTTTTTATTGTATTTCAATTTTCATAAGTTTTACCACAAAAACAACATTTCTTAAAGCAACTCGATAAGTTCTACTCAACTATGATGAAAAATTCTTTTGCTCAAATTTGAAATTTCTGTTATTTTATAAAAGAAAAAAAGAAATACCTTTTTGAAATAATTAACATCAAAACTACCACCATCAATTGTTAAATCACCCAGCATACGTTTTTGATTTGCTTTTTTCAAAATATTTTCTTCAATTGTACTCTTACAAATAAGTCTTCAAAAAATAAAAAAAATAAAAAAAAATAATTATTTTCTTGCTAATATAAATTCTTACCGATAAATGTGTACATCTTTTGTTTGTCCAATTCGATGACATCGATCTTGTGCTTGAGCATCCATTGTAGGATTCCAATCTGAATCATAAAATATCACAGTATCAGCACCGGTTAAATTAACACCAATTCCTCCAGCACGTGTTGATAGTAGAAAAACAAATATTTTTTCATCACTATTAAAACGTTCCATTAATATTTGTCGTTCAAAAACTTGTGTTGTACCATCTAATCGTAAATATGTATACCCATGATAATTTAAAAATACTTCAAGTATATCAAGCATTTTAGTCATTTGTGTAAATATTAAACAACGATGTTTATTATGTTTTAAATCTGATAAAAGTAAATCAAGTGTTTGTAATTTACCACAATCATATTGTATAAGACGTCGTTCAGGAAATTGTAAAAACATCGTTTGTCTTATTGGTGAAAGAATATCAAAATCAATGGATGATAAAACTTCAATTATTGGTTTTGATTTATTGATTTTATTTGTTAAACGAATTCCATTTGATTGAAATAATTCAATAGGTGATGCTAATACACGTGTCGTACATATCATAAATCTAAAGTTCATTTCCGTTAGAATTATTGAAATGAAGATACATGCATAGGAGAATATCGTGAGAACTTGTTTATGTTTTTCTGATCGCGTGTATCTCAGGATTCTCGAAGGAAATTAATTATGAATAACTGTCTTTTTTTGTTATTTGAAAGAGCATGTGAAACTATAATGCCTTTGTTTATTAATTATTATATGAATGCACTTCAATACAAATAGATGACCATTTTTCTTCACATAAAAAAAAGGCTTTACAGTATAACATGTTCTTTTAAATAGAAAAAGCTATTAGCATAAGCCCTGCTGGATTAAATTGTGCAACACGATGTAGTTACTATGGCTAACTGTAGGAAGATAGTTTTATTATTGTATCTATTTTGGGACACAATTCTAAATTATTCTTGTCCAGAAATGTAATAAGGAAGTAGTTCATATATTATAGCAAGACGTGAATGATCTATGATGTGTGATCGTATATCAACAATGTCTATTACGATCATCTTTTAGATCGTATTTTACAACAATATAAAATATATAGAATGACAACTTACAGAAAATTTTAGATTGTCAAATAGGCTATTTTTAAACCGCTGTTTGATAAATATTTTTCAAAACTTCGTAGTATAAAGCTGAAAATTTTACCAACTAAAGTCTGAACACATCCTGGATACTTTATACAATCTAACTCAAGACCCATTTATATGGATGGAAGTCTGTTCAAATTCTTTTTATTTACCTATTAAGTATATCTCGATATTCATCTAATACTTCGCGATTTGTTTTTATTAATTGTCGTAGAGTATCCGTTGTTGACATATAATCTTGAGTTTTAGTTAATGATTCATATACTTGTTGACATAATGCATATCCACTAAATGTTGTTCGATTAAACCGATGACATGGACGCATAGCTAATTCAATTTGTGAAAGAAGATCAGAGCCATATACCGGACGAGATTGACAACGTTCTGCATTGATTTGACATAATAATTCATAACGAGATAAACGTTCTTGTTGACGTTGTTTACAAATTTCATGCTAAAAGATAACAATAAAAATGTTCTTAGTACATATCTTTGTTTTATAAACATCATGTTTGATATACAGGAGTGGTGCAACTGAATGGAAGAAGATAACCTTCTTCTGCTTGAAAAAAATTTGATGGCAGCTTACTTCAAGTTTGAGAAAAATCAGAACGATATCTAGCATCAATGCATATAGATTTCGGCTATACCATCTCTTTCTTTAATTTTAGAAAATTCGTGCTATACACTCCTTCGATATCGTGAAGACTTTATGTAATTGAACTATTTCTTCAATAAAATCGTGATTGAAATTAAATATTCTGTAATAAGTCTAAATGTTTTTAACCTATCTAAATTTTTGTCTCTTAACAAAAATTTGAAAATACTACGACAAAAGTAGTCATGACTTTATGAGTATTCAACAGCTAAAATCTTCAAATATAATTAAACTTTCTGTGCGAAAATATTTCTACCACGAAGAACTGCAAGACTAAATCCAATATTTTAGTAGTCTATGCTCATATTTGTTATTCTGTGAATAGTTTTTATGTATAAGTCGATCTGTAAACACATCTTTGCACATTTCGAACTGTAAGAAAAAAAAATTTGCATTATATCTATTCAGCTACAACTAACTCCAAACGTTATTATGTTGGACTTCTTCTTCTGCTCGAGTTTGGTGATAAATGTAGAAAAGAAAAATATCGAATAGAAAAATAGAAAAATTAAAGTCTTTGAAAATGTAAGTACAGCCCATCAGATTTAAAATCCTTGAAACTGATTAACAGAAAAGTTTCAGAATCATATCAAATTGTGCTCTGATCTGACACTGACTCAACGAGTTCTAAGTGTGACTATAGGTCTTTTCTTTACTCAGACACCTTCACTTATACGTACAGCCACACCCACACCCTCATATCCATTCACCCTCAACATGTAACTTTCATTTATTTTGTTCTTTCGACATTTTTCTTTTTTGCTTTTGTTTTATGTCAATACGTCCTGCTCTAACCTTTTCACTTCGCTAATATCGCTTATATTCCTAATAAAGAAAAAATTTTTATCAAGGAATAAATTTTGAAACTTACATAAATATTTTCTGATTGAAATTCATGATCATTTAAATTTATTAATAGATTTTGTTTTATTTCGGAATGATTTCGAAGATCTAACAATAAAAATAATAATCAATTTTTTTGTTAAACATTAAATAATAAAAACTTAATCATACTTCTTGTCGTTATTTCATTAGATTGTGACCATATAGAACTATTTCTATATCGTTCAATAATACTTGTTGTTAATTGAATATGTTGTCGTTTATCATCATTATTTGTAGAATTAATTATATTCATAATCATAGATTTAGTTGCTTGTAAACTTAATTGAATTCGATAACAAAGAAATATATCATTTGGTTGTGTATTATATAAAATATATGGATTTTTTAAATTAATATTAAAAATTAATTTCGGTATTTGATATTCGATTAAATATTGTTGAAAAATAAATGGTGAAATAATTGGTCGTGGTTCAAATAAATCAGGATGATTACAAACTTTTCTTAATTGCATAAGTATATTAATAACAGACATATAATTACCTTGTTGAATAATATCATGTGTTGTTTTACATTGTATAAAATCTTCATATAATTGTCGTTGTCTTTTAGATAAATGACATATAATAATATGTTCAAATTTTTTAGGCATTTGTTTTTCAACATCAATTTTTAAACGACGTAATATAAATGGACGTAATATCTTATGTAAACGTTTTATTAATAAATCATTTGTTTGTATTTGTCCTTGTTCAATTATTTCTGTTAATGGATTTGAAAACCATTGACGAAATTCTTCATGTGATGAAAATAAATTTGGCATTAAAAAATGCATTAATGACCATAATTCCATAAGAGAATTTTGTAATGGTGTACCTGTTAATAATAAACGACGTTGAGAATGAAAATTTAATAATGTTTGCCAACGTTGAGATTTAAAATTTTTTATATTATGTGCTTCATCTAATATTAAATATTTCCATTTTTTACGACGAAATAATTTTGCATCTTGTAATATAAGATTATATGATGTTATACATATATGAAATGCATTCATTCTTGTCCAACCTTGACGTTTTAATTGACGTTCTTTTATTGAACCATAATATGTTAAAATTTTAAAAGCTGGACACCATTTTTTAAATTCTAATTCCCAATTAAGCATAACACTTGTAGGAACAACAATTAAATGTGGACCCCAAACACCTATTTAAGAAGTATTGTATTTCGATTTATATTGAAAAAAAATCTAATAGTAAATATATTACCTTTTTCACAAGCTAAATGTGCAAGTAAAGCAATTGTTTGGATAGTTTTACCTAAAATGTAAATATAAATAAATATTAAGACAATTCTCAAGCCGGGCTGTTGATATGAACGAGAGGAAGACGAACGAAACTCATCGTGATCTGACTTCTCTCATGATAGATGACCTATCATCAGACCGTTCTTTCTTAATTCTATTCGCCTCCTAATGATACTGTCTGCTTATTGTTATTTCCGTCTCTCTGTCCAAGAAAATTTAATCGTGTTTCTAAACTTGGTTACTGTCCAAAAAAACTTGGTGCAAAGGGCAAACATGTTAGGGAAAAGGATTCCTTCTTTAATCGGAAGATGAAATGTTGGTTGTTGAAAATGTTTATCGCATTTATAAATATAAATGAATATCAATATAGTTTTAATAAATGTTGATTAGAAAAAAGATAGTTGTTTAAAAAAAATCCTCTGTTGATAAATGCTGTTGTTCGATATTTACAATTCATTGAGATTGAAGTTTATCAGGAAAATATGGCAAGATACTTTTATCATGAAAATTAAATTTTTTACATAATTAAACATCTACTCTATGAAGCTATGTTTATGAGGTTCAGTCAAGAAGGTATCAGGATACTTGAAGATATTTTTGCACTTTTAGAGTAACAAAGTTTAAAATGTTCTCACTCTAAACAAAATATGAAGGTCTGACCGGTCTAAAATTCATACTGACACTGAACTAACACGTTGTCATATTATACCGTCTGTAGATAGTGATATTTAACATAGTCAGCTTTTCACAATGTTTTCTTTACACACTATTTATGAAATACGAAGAACAAAAACAAACTAATAAGACATACCGGTTACGACCAGTCTACCAGTTCCATCTCTGAAATATACTAATGAATACTATCTATTTATTTCGATTTTCAAGAAAGATGTGCAATGTTGACGATAAGACAATTGCACAGAAATGTATCACTTCTAGTTAGAGACATAATACAAACAGTTGCATTCAATATTTTTCGACCAGATTTATTTTCAAATTTGCTGATAAGATTCTAAATAGCTCTTTTTTTACGTAACTATGTACAGTAAAAATCTCCACTAGTAAACATCTCCTAATTATAAACAGTCTCAGATATGACAGACCGATTTTTGCAGTAAATACCACTTCCTCTAATGTGAACACTTCATTCTGGACAATTAACACTTTTTTTCTCTTGCTTTTACTATGATAACCTATTTCCTGTCGCCTATTTCGTATACACTACGCGTAAGTACACTTTGTGTATGATTTGATTACTGTGTGTGTAAAGTCAAGAATAACATCATGATACTTGCTTACATTGCAAGAAAAAATTCATTATAAATATTTTAACAAAAGAATAAATAGTCAAGCCTTTATCTATGACTAATAAAAAGACAATTTTTCGAGAACTTTTTCTTCGTTTCAAAGCAAACCATACTTCAACTCTCTAAGGCGAACACTTTGCAATGGTTCCGACAATGTTCAGAATAGAGATGTTTTACTGTATTTTTAGCCAACTATCAAGTTGTCCACCGTAAAGTTCATATAACTGATTCAGTACTACGTTTGTAGATTATTTCATCGACACCATCATGTAGAGTGTGCATTTTTACCAGGACTCACCACCCTGGTCGCTTTGATTGCTTCATTCTCTCTCTAGGCGAATAAAAGATTTTCACTACCGTGTTTCAGCATGATTTACATATGTCAAAAAGCCAGCATTCATGAAGCTCTTTATTGAAAAATGGTCGAATAGTAGCAAGAAACTAGCAAATATCCATGACGAATCTCCTCCGTCACTCCGCGTATTGCAGAGTATTTAATGATTTCGATATAACTCAGCTTCTTTTCAATAAAAAGCTTCATAAATGTACGATATTTGATATGTCTGAAACATTCTCAGACGCCCTAGTAAATTCTAAGCCAAAATACACAATTTACACGATGGTTTAGATGAACAGATTCACAAACTTTCTGAATAAATTGATATCTATAAATGTTTTCATATAAATAATGTTAATTTACAGAGTGTCGAAATCGATCAGTAAACTAAAACTGCATATTAGGTTTTTTTTATTTATCTAATTGCTTTAATTGTATCTTCATGTATCTATGTCCTATTTCTCTTCATTTCTTTTGCATTCTAATTTTTTTTTTTTTGTATAACAAATAAATCAATTTACCTAAACCCATTTCATCAGCTAATATACAATTAAGTTTTTTTTCATATAATGTAACAAGCCAATCAAGACCAACATGTTGATACTCTCTTAATGGATGTTTAAGTAGAAAAGGCACCGGTGTTTTAACTGTTGTAGTATTAAGTGTAAATCCTGTTGGTTGAAGTGCTTGAACTGTTGTTGCTAAATCATTCATTTGTTTATCTGTTGTTATTTGATTATTTTCTATTAAATTATTATCATCTATTTCATTTGATATTGATTCTTCATCGAAAATTTCATTTATATCACTATCACTTAAATTTTCATCTTCATCATCGTCATCTTCTTGTTGTTGATGTAATTCTTGTGATAAATTATTTTCTTTTTCATTTGATAAATTTAATACATCAATACCATAATGATGTTTTAATAAATTTTCAATTGATTCTTGTTGATCAGCTTGAAGTTCTTTGAGTTCATTTAAATCATATTCATCTTTTTCATATTGTTCTTCATGTTCAATTGTTTCTTCATTATCTTCATTATTTATATCATCATGTATATAATAGTCACTATCATCATTATTATTTATTTGATTTTGATTTATTGTTGTTTGTAAAGATTTTACAAGCCAATTTGAATATTTTTCTGTTTGATTAACAATTAAATTTAAATTTATATCTAATTGATGTTTACGTAATTGTTCTAAACGTGTTGTTTGTTTATATTCAGCTATTTTATTTATATTTTTCCAAAAATTCATAACTTCTTTACATATAAATTGTGCTTGTTTACGTATACGTTTATATTCATTATGTTGTTGTTGATTTTTTAATTGATTTTTATCATGAAAATATTTTAAAACAGCAATAGAAAGTTTTTTAGCCATTTCTTGTTTCCAACGTTTTTCAAGTATAAAATCTTCTGCTAACCAACGCATTTCATCAAGTAAATAATCCCAATGTGTTTTACGTTTTTTAGGTTCTAAACATTTTGCTAAACGTTGATTTGTCCATTTTCCATCAGATTTTAATTCATCAATACGTTTTAATATATGTGTTTCATGTTTAATACGATCAAATGATTGATTTGAAGAATTTATTGATTGATATCGTTGACGTTTACCACATCGTGATGATGATACTGATACTGATGATGATGTGAATGGTGTAAATGATGTATTATTAATATCATGTAAATTTTTTTCAACTTTTTCAATAAGATCTTCTTCAGCTTGAATAAAACGTTGTTCATCTAATGATAAATCAGGTCGATCACACATTTGTAAATTAACATATTCATGAACTAGAGTACGATGAGATTGTACAATATCATTAAGACAATTAAACATTGATTGAATATTATTATTATTATTATTATTGTTATTATTATCAGATGTAGAATTATTAGTTAATGATGAGGTACGAACGCGTTTTAACGGCGTTTGTTCAATGTCTGAATCATTTTGAATTATATTTGATGAACGACGTCGTTTTAAAGTATTAGACGTTAATTCATCATCAATTGTTGCGGTGAAATCCACCGCAGAAGTCATCTTAAAGGAAAATAATCAAATCATTGCATTAAAATATTGAATATAAAAAAAATTAACACTGACAGGTAAATGAATTACAACTAGGTTTTCGTCTATTTTTACCATTGAAGTATAACTTCATGGGCCTCTATTCATATTTGCATTGGGATTGGTTCATTTAGAAATATGAATTTGATTGATGACTCCTGACATCTGTTTGAACATATCTGATAGGTCTTTTAGACATTTGTATACAATTTTTAAAAAAAAATAATTGTTTGTTGTTGTCTTAGTAAAATCTCAAAGACATTAAAATGTGAAGGATGACATTGTTGTCGTTGCTAATGACTAAGAGATTGTTTTATTTTATCTACTTTTAGAAACATTTCTCCTTCATTCTTTTCTTTTTAATCTTGTAGAAATGCAATAAAAATGTAGTTCATAGATAATAACAAGACGTTTTTGCTGTATAGTCTCCGACTAATGTCTGACACTGTGTATGGGGAGACGGATTTAAATTTTTACACTTTTAGATTGTGCTTTATAAAAAACAACAAGTTTTTTTCTAACTGAAAATTCTATTAAGATTAATATTAAGTTCCTAAAGAACAAATTAGCATGTGTTTCTTGTTTGATGAAGAAGAAGTTTGAAGAATCTGTCAAATAGATCAACTTTATTATTATAATTAAGAGCTTTCTTTGTTATGGCAAATGTCATATCTTAAGTCTAATCTATTTTCTTAATGAAAGAATGTAAATGACAGCCAAAACTCATCCGTGTCTCCTTGATTGCGGGCGATTTTTCTTAATTGGAGAAAAAA